ATATCTCATTTGCATTGTGCTAACCTGACTTAGCATTGCCTCTTGCAACAATAAAGTAATAGTCTTGAGTGAGGTTGTAGATTTGAGGATTGAAGCTCGTTGTCTCTCGAAGAAAGGAACATTCAAGTAGACCGTTATTGTCAGACACAGTTACGTTGCTGATCCCTTCCTGAGTCTGAAATATCATGGAGATAACTGTTATTGCAAATCAATTCATTGTCTATCTATCTGTTTGTCTGTCTGTCTGTCCGTCTGTCTATCTATCTATCTATCTATCTATCTATCTATCTATCTATCTATCTATCTATCTATTGCAAACTCAGCTATTATCTGGCTTGAATCTGATGGGGATGAATTGAATTCTCAAGGGGTTCTCCTGACGTTAAAAAGTTTGGGGGATTATCAAAGCTGTCCTTCAAATGGGCCCTGTCGTACTGGAGATGGACGTGGAATTCAGAGGTCTCGCTTTTGGAATAGTCTTAGAGCATTGGACAGGAATGGTAAATCTCCAACCTCCACCATCCCATACAAAGAATATGAAAACGTGGTAGAATCAAGCGCTCGTCAATTTTAGGGCATGTGGGATTATTGGTATCATTTATCATTTATCTTGATTTCGATTAATTTGTCTTGAACAGAGATTGAGATATTTGCCTTTGAAGGAGGTGGGGTCGTCTTGTTTCAGATGTAAAATTAGCGAGAAAATTGCCGCCATAGTTTGGAGACTTCCAAAGCTTGAAAGTCCTCGGACACAGCAAATTTTCATTTTTTGTGTCTCTAATCAAATTTTTCCGTAAAATCTACACAAACATGTGTTTTTAAATGGACACAAAAAACTCAGCGTCAAAGTACAAAAATGCGATAAAAACTGCCAAACCTGCAGGAAAATGCTCTCTTCGGCGCGTTTTTTATTTTGATGAACGCCTGATTTGACCACGATGCTCCACACACACAAATATAATATAATATGTACGTGTATAAACCCAAAATATTTTTTAAAAATGTATATATCGTATGCAAGGACTTCAATAGTTCTAAGCCCAAAAACTCAACAGTTTTTCAGGAGAGAGAAAACGCTCTATTGTTTTTTTGACAGCTATATCTACAACAAGCATTTTGTTTTGTATTTTCCGCATTTAAAATTTGATTTTCCTCAAAGTACTTCTAGAGTGTATGCAACCGATTCCACAGATAAAGAATCTGGAACAAAAATAAAATGTTGGGGCTTAATACATCTGGACATCTGGCAGACGACATATTTTTCTAGAAAGCAAGACGTTTGATGGTTTACAAAAACAAACAAACAATTGGTACTCAAAAGACAACGTCGTATTATTGTCATTTGGAAACCGAAAAGAACTGCGCTCGTCAATATAATGAAATCGAAGAAACCGACATTTTTTCTGCAGTTTGTTTTTAAATTGGTTTTTCTTTTTTTGGGTAGGGATAAAGGGAGGGTGTGTGTGCTCGATACACGTTCATATTGCTGGTCCTTGCTCTTGTATTGTGAGGACGCATAAGTCGTTAGCTCGAAATGAAATATTCTGTTTTTTGGTACCTAACTAAAAATGATAATTTCGATAAATTTTGGGCCTGAGATATTACCAGCCTATAGTTCCTGACGAGCAAAATGTACAATCGTATGCAGTCTTAAAAAAGTGGGTATGTCAAATAAAATGATTGACTCACGTTGTTCAGTGGTATGTTGTCGAATCCGACATTTGAAGAAACGACAACTTGTGCTGTGTTGTTGAAAATTGTGCATGACACCACACTAGCTGGCGCCTGTCGAACAAAAAGGATATATTATCATTATTATCATTTGATCACCACATACTAATCATGCTAACCCCAACTTGTTTTAAAGTTTTTCGAAAAAAAACCCCACATGGCATTGATCAATTCTGATAATACTAGAAACAAAGTGCAACGTACACCATTTTGCAGTCGCGATTCTTACAGTATTAGGCAACGATAAACATTTTTAATGCATTTTTTTCAAACAATGGTATAATATTAAATTCGGCTCCAGGATCCTTTGGCTCTGGGCGACATAATGAATGGAAAAATGTATTTTCTCCGCCCTTCACATTACGCTGTTGAAAATTACGTCCTTGACATGCACAAATTGAGATTATGTTTAAAACATTTCGGCACCAACCTAATGCATTTTAAATATTGAGATTCAATTCATAGAATTGGCAGATTTCAATCGCTATGTATCGTTCACGTTTTAAAATCCTCTAGAATTTAACCATTGCGTTCCAATTTCGTTTAAAAAGATGTGAGCGTCTACGGATAAAAAGCACAACAGGAATACCCAAAGCATATTAATAATAATGGTAAACGCAAAATGGTTCGGTAGTCAGGTCTTTCGCATAAGCTATACACACACACACACACACACACACACACACACACACACACACACACACACACACACACACACACACACACACACACACACGCACACACGCACATATATATATATATTATACACAAACTGATATTATACCCTGAAATGTATATTTATTTTTTTCTTATGAACTATCATGACTTCGGTATTTATTTCTTAAACAGCAATGTTGTCAAGGGATGTTTGTTTTGCTGTTTTAACTGTAGGTTTTGTGACCGTTTTTCTTGCTATACAGTAATTGTTATATTTTGTTTTGCTGTTGCTGTTTATGGTTTCGGTAGTATTGGCATGTCCCTTGTTGATATTGTTGTTTTTTGCTGTGTTTTTGTTGTTACTGCTGCTATTGTTATATTGTTGCTGCTGTTGTTCTTTTCTTCATCGTTCTCGATGTTGTTTTTTTCCTAGTTTACCTTTTTTAAACTTCCAAAGGACTATCATCTGGTCAAAATAAAACCAAGTTATAAATGCAAACAATACAAAGCAGTTTTGAAGCGTTATATATAACTTATATATAAATTGATTGTATTCTAGACCCAGTTCAGTCTACCATTTTTCCCAGTAATGAATTGAAGCCCAGAGAGAGGTACTTGTTGTCTGCGCTGAAGGTGGACCTGAGCACAATGCGGTAGTCAGAGCCCTGTTCTTCCCAGGAAGATTCCCAGTCGCACACTTGGTTCTCACAGTTGCTGAAACATCCCTTGCTAACACCACAGCCTGGATCCTGCGAAAACTTGCCCTGAACAGAGTCCGTTTCAATAGGTGACTTGTTAGTTTCGATGTCAGATGTTTATTTTACGTGCTAAAATGTTTGGTTCGATCTCCAGTTTGTGTAGTTAAGGTCTGGGATTGTAGTGTGGGTTGTTTCAGATAGCTTTATTCACACTCATCACCCCTGCTACCAAGAGAAATTGACTTTCCTTTCATCTACTATGATTTGAAAGAAGGAGCGTAGTGGACTGTGAAAGTGAAAAAAAGTCTTTGTAAAAATCCAAATTTTTAACATTAATCCACCCCCCATCCCTTATTGGTTTCTTACATATTTGAACTAAAATTTTGCATAATGCCTTGAAAAAAAAGGAACAAGTGTGAAACAGTCAAAAGTTCCCCTTCTTCAAAGAGAGCCAGGCAGGATGAATAAGCCAAGTAACTTACTTTTAAGGAAACCGAGAATACTGCTGAGAAGAGTTAATCTTAGCAGTTCATAATGTCAGTGTTGGGACACTAGTTGTAAATTATGAAAACAATTGACTACTTCCTAAAGATCATAGGCACTTGCATGTTGTCGCTTATGAAGGAGAGCACTGCATACTATGTACGCTTAAAGTGTAGTTCTTAAAAATACCCCCAATCTGCTTATATTAGCTTAGTATTTTCAGAGATGAGATGAACACATAACTTAGATAAACCGAGGTGAAAGAAACAAATGGAATAACTAGTAACAGCACACTAAACTATTCAAGTTTTGTGTTTAATTTGTTGACTGTTCATTCAATTTCTTAGTGACAATGGTGTTTGTGACGTTTAAGTCAGAATTTCCCTGAATTGAAATACAAGTCATCCTGTGTAGATTCCAAGACGGGTCATTGTCGACCCTGTATTGCTTGGGAAGTTTTCATAAATCCCCTGCTTCTTGGTTCAGCCCTATCAAAGGTAGACGTGCAATTATAGTCCCACCTTAATCAGAATGTTGGAAGGGTGATTACACTGTGCTATACCGTCACTTACAGCGGGAACAGGTGGTGGTCCTGAAATCCTCACTGACTTCAAATCTTCAAAATAATCAGTCAGATTCATAGTGGTCGCTGGGGCACCAGACCTGACAACTGTATAGCTGCAACAAGAAAACAAAATGTGAGGTCAGGCCATTGGTATCCTTTTTCTTTGCGTTCCTCTGCTAGATACCAGGGTAGTCGACAACAGGTTCTTCAACTTGCTGTGGAGCTGACTTTCCTACGTCTTAGAGCCCATTGTAGCCACATTCCGGTTTCAAAGGTACTCTATTAGTTTTTATACTAAATAGTGCTAAATAGGATTAAACGGTGCACCGGGGGAACAGCGACTCTATTTTTAAAAACAGGGAAAGAATTCGTCCGAGAAACAGCAATTGTGCTGAGCGAATACACCGTCTTGATGGTATTTACCATAGTATCGACGTGGCCGGCCGATGATAAACATTTCGTTTAAAAACTTGTCGAATGCTACGTTCTATAATAAAAATAAGGTCAAATTCGGAAACAGTGTATCAAAATTAAGAAAATAAATCGCAAGTTACTCGCTTTCTTGCTGGTTTTAGAAGATCACCAAAACAGTTGTTTTTGTTTAATGAACCAGGATTGCATCATGTAGTATTTTCTGATCACGACGCGGACGGACAACTGCCAGTTTTAACTGATCTTCTATATAAACCCCAAAGTTAGAATTGGGACCGGCGAGCTGTGACGCCCGCGGGATTTGACTTTGCATTCCAAATTTAAAAAATAATTATCACTTTCGGAATCAGCGTATCAAAATAAACAAAGTGACTCGAGAAGAACCTGATTTGATGCCATGTTTAAACTTATGCAAACTTCGTTTTTGATTGTCAATTTTGAATCTGAAGTCATGTATCAAGGTCACCCGAGGCCCGAGGTCACTGCCCAGTCACTGTACGATATTATAACAAAATGGCAACTTGGTTGAAAGACACTGTTATTCTCTTTACTGAATAGGGGCCTACAGGTCCCACGAATGTCTGTGGAAGATTAAGTCCAGAGACTACAATAGCAAGAACTTGTGTCATTTTGCAAACAATTTAAGCAAGATTGAACAAAAAACTTTTAAAATTTCATCATCACCATCATCATCATCATCATCATCATCATCATCATCATCATCATCATCATCATCATCATCATCATCATCATCACCATTAACAACAACAGCGTAAATCGTCAAAATTCTAATAATCTTTTTGGGAAAAATTAACGAAAACAAAAATAAAACAAGATTATTCTGAACAAGCTAACTCAAACAGAAATTACTAGATTAACACATTCCCTTCATAACCTACCAATATTCGGCACCAAATCGGAACATGGGACCCCCCCCCCCCCAAATGGGATAATGTTTTAGTTAACCGCTAAAAGGCAAGTCTCTTTGAGCAACCTTGACATCACACTGAAATTTGTGGTTCAAATCTTTGTGAGCTAAACATTTTTCTTGTCCATCCGGGATTTTTGTTCTCTCAGCACATGACAAAACATGTTACCAAAACAAGTTGTTTCTAAAAGGGTTAATGAATCGTCACAATTGGAGATCTTCTGTTAGTTACTAGTGCCAATTTGTGTTTTAACCTAATGTTTCTCAAATGTGTTGCCCCCTCTTTTCCCAAAAAAACAACTGACAACAAAAACAAACCAGCCTGCAAGACGATTGTTAGATGGCATATTTTCAGCTTTCCAACAACACACTGAGGTGTAGTAAGACGTTTGATTACCCACCCCATCTCACCTAACAGCCACCCCCACCCTATTCCCAAGCAATCATCACACTTTACACACACACACACACACACACACACACACACACACACACACACACACACACACACACACACACACACACACACACACACCGACACACACACACACACACTCACTCACACATTAACACACATACACACACACACACACACACACATATACACACACACACACACACTTACTTGCATCCACATTCAAGCCCACACAAACACACGTAATTAGAATTAATTTACCCGTTAAGCAGAGCTGTCAGGTCTTCACTACGATAAAGGAAACTTACTGGAATATGAGATCGCCCTGTGGTGTGCTTGGAGCCGTCCACGCAAAGACTTCTGAAGACTTGACTGCGCCTGATGTGTGAGTTATCCCGTTTCCCAGCTGATGGGCGAGAGGTATAGAATGCATAATAAGAGCGACAAGCTAATAAGATGTGACAGCTTGCAACAATATTTTTTTAAAATCATAATGTGTTTCTCCTGATGACACTAAGGATACGGATATCAACGAATCCAGAAGGACGATAATGCAGCGAAACATTCAGCAGACGTACAAAGGAACCCCCCCCACCCCACACACAAAATGAGAACAAGGAACAAAATAACTACGATAACGAAAATAAAAACGCCACAAGAGGCAACCACGAGAAACTGCAGCTTAAAAAAATGTTGCACAACGATTTCAATTTATACCATCAACAACAACAACAACAAAACAATAACCCAACTTTTTATTTCTGTAAACGATGTGACTTTTTCCAAACCCTATCAAACTTACTGGATCTCCTAACTGTCTGCAATTTGACTTAAAATCAATTTCGAACAGTCTGATAACAGACGGCAGCACAGTTTCACATGGGCGAGGCGTTTTCATAATCAAATAATCACAGCCTCCCTTCCATAGTTTGGGAACACTGACGCCGTCAAACCACCCTTAGACTCATAAATGTATATCTTAAAATTTAGAAACTTCAAATTTGAGCAATGTGCACAACACTTGAAGTTATTTCCGTTGCCACATAAATACCCTCTTTACCTTTTTTGGCCAACTCTCATAAGAAGTCACAGCACAGACATTGATCATGTAAGCTATCAATTTGATTGGTAGAGTCTACCTAAAAAGGTGAGGAGGGCTAACTCCTAATAATCTCACGGCTGCTGTGACTGATTGTTTTTTCCCTCGACTTTTTACATCGCTATAATCAGGTCAAGGCATGTTTATGACATCGGCTCCCGGCCACGAGAGGCTTGATGAAGACGGTATAATTGAAAACGAAATTGAACAATACATTAGAATCTATAGCATTGTCATCTCTGCTTCTTTGCTTTCTGTTTGTGTTTTCACATCTTTCCTTAAATGTACTATTAAAAATCATGGGAACATTATTGCCACGGCAAGGTTAAAAATCTATAATAACGTATTGCCCAAGGTGGGAATTTAATTGTCTAATGAGATGTTTTCTCCTTTATTGTGGCGGTTAAACATACATTAACATACATTCAGGACTTGTTTTCACTCTCGATTCAGTGATGCTTCCTCGAATGGGAAGGTTTGTTGATAATGTTCTTATTGTGGGGAAGTATTTCGTGTGTAGCCTCTTCTCTATCTGTTACGTTGCTTAACTTTGTCAACCAAGTCAGCTTTCGCCGCTGCCGTTATATTGTTCTGTCAGGTGCACAAGGTACAGTGCAGTCGACGCCAAGCTTGTCTATTCTTGGTTTCACCATCTAGCTTTGACATATCTCAGTTCGTAATCTAATGCCTGGTGTACCCATTCTTTGGCCATTTGGTACCCAGTATCAGGGCTGATAGGAGAATCTTGTATCCAGTACCGAGTGGCTAAAAAAATAGGACCCACTTAAACGGCACTAACTCTGTTATCTTATTACAACTGTTAATAAAACATCACAGATATAAAATTCGTCTATAGGGACGTTACGTTTGTGAATATGAAAAAATCAGTACTTTCGTTCGAAAACTATCAAATTAAAAGAAATGTTCTACAAAGATAGAATGAAACACAAAACGTTGCAACTTCTTAAAATTAACCATATTGTTCTATTTCAAAGATTCGCTATTTGTGCCTTGAAGAACAAATTAATACAAAATGGATATTGCTAAATAAACCCTAGAAAGGTGTTCGCTATTTAAATCTCCAGGTGTAGACCATTTCTTTCCATAAAGGCTCCAATACGCCACTGCAAATTTTGAATAATCCCGTGTCATGTTTCTGGGTCGATTCTTTGGACGTCCTGTTTAACATTGAGATTCAACTCTTCGAGTGATTGTGTGTTGTTTCCCTTGACTCGGTGTGTCAAGTATTGAAAAAAAAACCAACAGACCAACCAACCAACAAAACAAACAACAAAACCCAAAGGTAATCATTCAAGAGGATCAAGTTGGGGGAAAAGTGGTAACCATTCATTTGTGAATTTTGGGCTTACAAGGCGTTCCATTGCAATCATATCAGGACTACTGTAACTCTTGATGTATGAGTTGTGGCCCCATCCCGCTGGAATTAGACCTGTACAACATTACACATTCTCCCCAAACTCCTCCAAAACTTTCTCGACACGTTTAGACACCTATCTGAGGTGACTGTTGTGGTTCTACCGCCGTTGTCCTGAAATTAAAACGGGCCGATCGCGACCCTGTATCTGAACGCTTATAAGAAGCAACATTTTTCGCTTTACCCAATTTTGGTTGACACTTTTAAAACTTGCTATTTCTTGAACAAGTTGATTTATTTACTTTACATTTAAAAGCGTGACGTCCTCGTTGTTGAAGTTTATTTGCACAAACCCTATATTCTTAAAATATGTTCCAACATATCTCTATCGTCTCCGTTTTATGGACGCACTGATATCTCTTCAATCCAGTCTAGGTCCAAAATTTCATTATTTGCGACAACTTCATTACATTTCATTCTTGTTTCATATGAAAGCTTTTTAATTTTACTAGAATTGTTTTGTTTGTTTTCAAACATTAGTAATGTCAAAACATTGTTTCTATATATTCTTAATTTTGTTTTCACTGAGATAATCTTTGAATTCCAAATGGTTTACAATTTCACCAAAATATTCTCTACATTTTAAAGCCTTTTACGGCCGTTGACAAGGTAGTCTGTACTTTAGGAAATAATGTCGCCTTGGTATTTGAAGGATTCATTTTCTGCCAAAGATTTCCCATTAAGAATGATGGTAATCGCAACACTTCTGTTTTGGAAAAATATATTACAGAGGCCGACTTATTCTGGAGATCTTGGTAGTTCATCTGTTTTTAATCGAATTTTATGAACTAGGGTGTTCGACAAGCCCACGTCATCAACAAACTCCATATTGTAACTCATTTGAGTTTTGGACAAGACACGCTAATATCTGTGAATATATGACTCCTTGGATTATATTCTTTAATATTTTCATTTTATAGACGACCACATTTCTCGATAAGCGCTTCAAATGCTCCTGAAGTTGCTTGGGTTCTTCTATCAACTTTCGGATCTGATGAATTTGTTTCTTTCACAGCGCTTCCCAGATATGTGAAACATCCGAGATATTAATAGAAGAATCTTGTCAGGCTTGCTTTGTGCGACAGGCTGGTAGAGATGTTCCGTTTTGTAATGCTGATTTTTAAGTCGAGGAGCACGGCAGCGGCTTCCTACCATCACGCATTGTGCTAGGTCAGCTTATCGACATCGTGCCCCCTCCGTGTGGCCTTCCTGGACCTCAGTACCTGGTTACTAAATTAATGGTGCACAGAAGTGAAACATGCTCAGTAAACATAGAGCGACATTTAACTTAACAGGTGCTGCCATTAATTGACCAACTACGGATTCCTCTGTATGCCAGCTGGTGCCTTTGCCTTGTGCGTGTTGGACTCTTCTGGCTTAAATTATCCAGTGCTTTTGCAGCCAGCCTCCTCTTGGATT